GATTAAATTCGAGCACTCGAGTGAATTCGAGTACTCGAATTTTTCGAGTACTCGAATGGATTCGAGCTTTTGACTTACTAAAAAAACTATTAATAAGTAAAAAATTTCGAATTTTTTTGAATTACTGAATCAATATATCTATTTGCTAAATATAATAAATGCGAAAATTCTATGAATTTTCTCTAGAACTCGAATTTACTCAGAGCTCGAAAAAATTCGAGTACTCGAATTCCCTCGAGTGCTCGAAAAATTCGAGTACTCGAATTAACTCGAGTACTCGAAACTATTCGAGCTTTTTACACAGCTCGGCTCGGCTCGAACTCGGCTCGAGCTCGAACTGATTAGGCTCGGCTCGGCTCGGCCCGAAAAATGAAAAGCTCGAAAAAGCTCGCTCGAGCCTCGAGCCTCGAGCTTTTTGCACAACTCTAGAGGTTATGTTAAAAAAGGGGATAAAAATGAGTAGTGAGGGAAGTAAAAGTGTATATTATGAACGAAAGGTGAATGAGCTGGAAAGAAAAGTGGAATGGATGGAAAAGGATGAAAGAAAAAGAAATATAGTGATTAGGGGTATGAATGCAGGTTTAAGTGAAGGAAGAAGAGAGGTGGGGAGACTGGCTGAAAGGATAGGGGTGAAAATTAATATTAGGCAGATGAAAGCAATGAGTATGGATGCGAATGGGATTCCGAGGATGTGGTTAGTAGAACTGGGAAGTGAGGAGGAAAAAGAGGAGGTTATGAGGTTGAAAGGACGTGTTGAAAGAATAGATGAGGATAGTGGAGGGAAAGGAGAATGATATGTTTACTAAGAGAGAAGGCATGGATCGAAAGAAGGAGTGGAAGGGAAGTAAGAATGGGTAGGGAATGTGTGTGGGTGGATGGGGTAAAATGGTGCGTGAGAGAATGTAATGGACGAATGTTTGAAGTTGGAATAAATGATCGGGTGAATGGAGAGAAATACGAAGAAGGATAGGAATGAAGATGGAGTTTAAGGATTTAAGTAATTTAAAGGGGTGGAGCATTAATGGGAAATCAATCAGTGTGGACAAAGGGAACGGGTAACGGAAGCCCTGATACTGGCAAATTTTGAGTGGATGAGTGTGATGAGAATAGGTTAAGTTGCGTGTAGGTTAAGTTTTGTTGATGTGGGACATGAGTGGCGTTATAGGTTAAGAAATTTTGTATATATAGAAGAAGTTGACTTGTGAATGTACTAAGGAGTCTTGAACCAAGTAATTTTTAATTTCATTACATTCTCATCACATGAGAAAGTATTAGTTTTGGTCGAAAATTGACTTTTGCTAATTTTATGAAATCTTTACGTTTTGGTGTCCCCTGAACCCGAAAAACATGATCCGGCGAGTCCGTCTGTCTGTCCGTCTGTATGTATGTCCGTCTGTATATTTACTAAATTCAGATTTTTTAATTTTGATTATATAATTTAGTAAAAAGAGATTAAATAGGATTTTGAACTGACATTAAAAAATTGATTTATTTTGACTTTGATTTTTATTGCCATTTGCCAACCAACTTCAAGTTAGATGTTATTACTTGTTGATAACCTTTAAAATAAACATTTACTTTGAGTAAACTTTCAAAATACCGATAAAATGAATAGTGATCAACTTTTCAGGTAAAAATTTTAATATTTCTAAGCAAATTATCAAAAAAGTATTTACATAATATTAAAATGTAATTAAAATACTTATTACATATCTTAATAATTCCGATTCACTAAAATTAAATTACTTTTCAGAAAAAAGTTCTTAAACACGATAGATTTTTGACATTTCTTTACAGAAACTTTAATAACATATTTTACATTTTATTTTATTTTAGGTATTAAATACTTTAATTAATTACAAAACACAAATTTAACCTTTAAAAATAAAATCATTAGTAACACAAAATTAAATTATGTTCAAAATTTAAAAAGAAATCTCGAAATAAAGAAACCCAATTATCTTTATAAATAATAAATCATTCTTCTTCTAAACTCAATTATTTTCAAAAACTTTTCCTCATTTCAATGATTTTCAATATCTATATTTTAATAAAATTACCCAAAAGAATTTAATTACTAAAAATAAATTTTTAATAAAATTGTACGCAAATATTCAGATTTTGGTTATAATTTTTTCTAAAATATTATAAATAAAATTAAATTTCACAAACAATTTAAAAAAAATTAATATACCTAGTTGTGTTTAAATCTGTTTGAAATTTGAAGTTAGTTTTTGTTTGCTTCTCAACTTTTTTAATAAATTTTCTTTTTCAATGTTTTGAATTGTAAAAATTAATGCACTGAAAATTACTAAATTCTTGCAAAGTTTTTATCAAAAAATTTAAAAATAATTAAAGTCATTTGACGAATTTTATCCAAATCTTTTTGAAATAATTGAATTCTTTCGAGAAAATTTAATTAAAATTGTATTGAAAATAATATTGAATCACAAAAAATATTATTATTTATAAAAAGAATCGAAGTCTTATAAAGAATGTTATTAAAATTATTGAAAATAATTTGATTCTTAACAAGAATTTTATTAAAAAATTTAAAAAATAATTAAATCTTTTCGTGAAATTTTATTAAAATTGTTTTGAAAATAATTAAATCCACGATGCTCGAATTTTACTCTTTATAAAAATAATTGGATTCTTTCAAAGAATGTTTTATTACAATTTTTGAAAATAACTTAATAATTAAAATAGTTAATAATAATTACAAATTTTTTTTAATAATTTAATTCTTGCGAAAAATGTTATTAACATTTTTGAAAATAATAAACAGGAATAGTTAAGAATATTAATTATGTAGTTTTTAAATTTTGAATATGAAATTATTCAAAATTTAATGTTTAGGTATATTTGAAAACATAAAATTTTTTAATTTGCGAAATAATAAATGGAACAGTAACATTTACGATAGTAATTAAAAATTATTACATTTATTATTATAATCATAAGAATGTAAAGAATAAAAATTATAATTTATCTTTAAAAAATGGTTTATTTATATTATTTAAATGTTTATAAACATTTTCATTATTACTTGATATACATACAAAGCCTTTGAAAAATTTTCAAAAAATCTTCAAGTTTTTATAATATTTCTTCAAATTCTTAAAATATCGCTTATTGCTTTAATTTTCTTCAGATTTAAAGAAAAATCTTCCAATCTGGTAGCACTGATACAAAAATTATTATAGTTTAATTAATAATTAGGTACTGATTTTTCAAAGTTATTCTTTATTGTCTGTCAATGTGCCATTTTTCGGGTCTTTTATATTTAAAAATTTTTTTTATCATAAAAATAATTTTGTTGTAATTATTATTTTGCATTTTGTCGTCTCAAATCATGTAAAAATACCCCTCTGAACTATTAAAATTTTTAAAAAATAAGGTCAAAAATATATTTGGTGAAATAAAATGGTTTGCGACCCATTGATAATGGTTAAAATAAACAATTTTTGTCAATGGGTGTACTTAAAAAAATGAGTTCAAAATATATAGTTCGTGTAGAATTGAACGTTAATTTATTAAAATTCAGCTGATATGGACATAAAAATCATCTATATCGAAAAAAATAGAATAAAACAATATTGCAAACTTTTACTGTTTCCTAGTAAATCTTTTTTCCATTTTACAACTTAACCAAATGTCTTTTATATCAATGATAATATTAATTCTTTTAAAAAGTAATAATTATTCTTCACCTAAAATGTAATACAGTTCACCTGTGCATATAATTTTAATTCAAATCAGTCTTTATTTATTTTTCTACGATAAGGTAAAGCTACTAGTACGTGTGACGTTGAGGCGCCTCGCATTTACTTGGTCTCATCCAGTTACGCAATCGCGCTCGCAATATCGGTCAGGACGGTTACATGCTGCATGCGTACAGACGACACATAACGTGTTATGAATTGTAATGCAGCCTATAAAGAAATCTTTTCGAACAAGATAAAGGTGCATTGTGATAAAGCAGATAGGTGGTAAGCAAAATTTTGCCAGAAGGGACTTATCAATCAGGAAGTCTTCCCTTTTCCCCATTTGTTTTCTGAATTTAAAACAATTTCTCAAATTTTGAATGTTTTACATAAGTGAACTTTAACTATTTTATTAGTTGTTTTCAAAACGATCGACTCTTGAATCAAATCCATTCTTATCTATATGATTTATAATTTTTCTATATGTTAATCACAGTTTTCTTGAAGGTGTATCAAGATAGCAAAAATTTTAGTCAAAGAATTTGTCCCATAGTTTTGGTATATCAATTCGATGCAATTTGACACTTTCTAGTTAACAGTGAAAACTATTTGTTTTCAACCTGTTCAAGAACCAGTATTTTGCATTGTTAGCTTTTATGTTGAGCGCTATGATATTTTTCATTAAAAGTCGTACGATTATTCGAACAGTCCCACTGATAAGCATGACGTTTACGCGATAAGCGGAAACAAGGTTACTGCTATTTCTGTAGTCTCTATCTATTGTGTTTATCATGTAAGTCGATGATGCCAGGAATTTGGACCAATAGTTTATTAAAGAAAACATTTTTGTCACTCTCTAAATCTGAATTAGTATACCTAGAAAATTGCAAAATTAACAGTAAAATCGTGAACTATCGGTCCTAATCGAATTAGTAACAAATAACTAATTATTAGTAGAAAACAACTAATTCAAGAGTCAAATCTAATTAAAAATTTGTGAAAAATTACTAAAATATTTGGTGGATATAAATCTACTAATTTTTTTATTAGAAAAATTTGATTAACCAATTTTTTACTATTAGAAATAAATCAGAAATTAATTAATTTAATAAACGAATGGGTGTTGTTGAATTAGCCAAAAGTGACTAATTCAGAATTAGAGAGCAACGTTTACACATTCATCGATTTTCAGCACCCAAGTTGTTGGACTGTAATTCCCACGTGCTTTTTAGAAAAACAATAAGTTGAGGAAGGACAGTAATTAAGTCAGAGCATAATATAGCGGGGAAAGTGTTTTTCGTTGCATTGATGGCTTGACGACGATGATGACGATGACGACCACGACAGGGACGTCGACGTGAGTACTAGGTCGAGGTGGTGGAGCTCGAGGGCGCTTGCGTGGGGTTTCGACGACGACGACGCGCGTCGCAACGACCGAAGTTCACCGAGCAAGCACGGCTACGTGGAGACTCCGGTTGGTTTGGCCTGGCACGGGCTACTCTCGCAGTGTTCCAAAAGTCGGCACCACGCACGAACCGCACGTCGACGCCTTAAGACACACGTTCAACAAGAAACGAACACGCACGCGAAACACACACACCAAGAATATCCTCGAGACACACTCGAATCCCGAAACCTCAAATATACGTACAACGCGTGTGCCTCCTCAAAACGTATCGTCGTCACGGCTCGCTGAACGATAGCCTCCACTCTCCTGACGGAAGTGCTGATCCTGCGCGAAGCAAGGACTCCGAGGGGAGAACCTGGCAAACTCCGAGTAACTGCAAACTTGAGGATAGTACCGACAACGGCTACTGATTCCAGGTCACGCCACCCCAATGCGAGCCGTTGTGGAAATGTTGTACATCACGAGAAATATACTTTGAAACTGGAGTGTGGTGGTGGAGGTCGGTGGAGGTGGGAGGACATCATTTCATTAAAACTCACCTGGATTCGTTCGAGTAGTCCCTAGATTCACAACTACCCTTACCGTCCCTGACCTTCCTCACTTCCTAGTGTCGTCAAATACCGTGTATTCGTAGTGTGTCGGAGTTTCTTTCCCCATATTTCGTGAACGGTGTTCAACGGTGTGAACGGTGCCGAACGCGAGTGTCAATTGATTCTGATTATTTGGAATCATCGTGCGGGAAAGTAGGGCCAACTAGTGATAAAAGAACAATCCTTTAACAGAGCTCAACCTCTTTTAGCTCTGAGGTACATAGTAAGACAAGTGAGTGTGCAAAATCAGTGCAGAAAAATTAATATTAACACTCTGAATCGACAATCAGGAAGATGATGTATGACCGTCTCTTTTCTAATGATCAGACACAATTACCAAGTCGGATAATCCGTTAGTATTGAAAGGGAAAAGTGATAAGTGATTAGTGCAAAGCATTATCACAGTTTTACATAATATCATTTTTCATTGATAAAAATTAGAAACCCCTAACCTCTTGGTCTTCCGGGGTTTTCGGTGCGTGTCTTGATGAGCGTGGCGTGGATCGATAGTGGCCTCGCGAGCTCGACTTGACGTTGACGTTAGCGAAATACCCCCTGGTGACATTCACACTCCGACACGAGGTGAAATTTCATCAGCATAAGTGACCCGATTTCATGTAACTCGTAATCGGCCGAGAAAAACCGCACTTATCCTGCGTTTTATGGGGGACTTTGGTGAGGCTAACCTTTACTCCAATAATTGTCGTCCCATCAACAAACCATTTAACTCCACTAGTGCAACAATTACAACAACAATGCAAGACGACTTACTCATCGAGAAGCAGAGTTCGGCGAAAAGTGCTCCACTTTCACCTGGTGGTGTCTTAGACCAGAGCATTGGACAGGACAAATCAAAGGATTCAGTGGAAGTTGACACTATCAGTATAACACAGAATGTCACTTCCTCCGAAAAGGATTTATCCTGTAATACCACATCGGGTTTACAAGGCTTCTCGGACCAAGTGAGGGTACCCAGCCTGTGGGCAGCTCCAGACGACTCTAGTCTGCACTCACTTCCGGTAAATGGATCAATCGCTAGCTTTCAAAATTTTCCAACTAGTGGTCCTGGCCTATTTGCCGGATCCAGTGCCACTGGACGACGTGCAATCACAGCTAGTCACAATTTTCCACAACATGGAAATGCAGCTCCAAGTAGCAGGCATGGTCTACCGACAGCGTCCGTTCAACAACAACAACAACAACAGCAGCAGCAACAACAACAGCAATCCTCTCACCCTGGTGTCTATCTACAGGGGAAAGGATACGCTGCCTGGTCAGGAGGTCCACAAGCCCCACAACAATGGGGCAGTGGACCTCAAGCTGCTGCTCAAAGTCCTGCACTCTCGCCTTGGAGTCGTGGCAGATCTGTACCAAATCTACCACCATTGCACTCGTCATTGCATGCTGCAGCTGCCGTTGCTGCAGCAGCGGGTCTACAAAACAGGAAGCCAAGTCCAACATTTCCCGGTCATCCTGTTCCCACGGGTCATCCATCAAGTATTAGTCCAGTGAAATTTCGAAGAAGTACGTCATATCCCGGGAAAGGTAATTTATACCCACCTCAACCAACACCCACGTTCGAGGTCACCTCTGCAGATGAACGGGATCTCATGCAGCTTCCACCATATCAGCAGGTTAGTCTATTTAAATTCCACTTATGTATTCAGTTTTCTTGAAATTTGAATTGATACCAAAAATGTGGATCAAATAAAAAATTGATCCAAATTTTTTATTTGATTTAGATTTTTGGTATCAATTCGTTGAAATTTGATGCTTTTAAATTAATAGTGTTAGGATCATCAAAAGTAGAATAGAAGTTGAGAAGTTTTGCCTTTTCCATTTTATTTTTCAACAGTTGGATTTCTCTGTTTCTTTATGAGATTAAGAATACACAATACAGTAAATATGTTCAGTATGTTTAAAATTATTAAAGACAAGAAGTTCAAGGACACCCATTGCAGCGAGCCAGCAACTCACTAAGTGGGGTGTTCTTGCAATTGTATGCGTATTGCGTAATTTGATGGAAAAGAATGCAAGAGTTCATTATACGAGGTGAACTGTATTGTGTGAACATTTGAAAACTAAACACCCATTATACATTCATTGTAACATTAATGAACTACTGACGTAAATATGCCAATTGATTGCTATAGTTGTTTATGTTAAACTTTTTCATTATAGACGAAAAATTTTCAATGGATTTGTAACAAAATTTACATTTCTTCATTTTTTTTTAAATTTCTTTTCTTTATATAAACCACACATTTTTGTGAATTTACATTTCGAGCATAGTTGTAGTATTGCATTTATGATTTTCAACATTAATGAATTAAAAAAAAAACTACTCTACTAATGAATTAATTTTTTGCGCAATTATGTCAAGTGAAAATTAAAATGAAAAATTAAAATTATTTTTAAGTAATTTTTCAAAATATTATCGTAAATTAATTTTGTTTTCAATAAATAATAAATAAATGCTGAGCGTGTGGAAAATAAATAACAAAAATTATTTAACATTAATTTAACATTTTAACATTAATTATTTAACATTTGCCTTGTCAGTGTTTTGGTAACTGAATATAATATATTGATATGGTGACTTTCGTTGAACAGCATAGATTTCCGATAATATTAATAAAAGCGAAAGTCGGTGAGAAATATAATTTCGATACTGGTATTCTTTATTGGTAATTATTGATCGTGATATCATATAATGTCAATGTAATTATTATTTACTGTTCTTATGGGATTAAGTAAGAAAGTAAAATACGATCAACATTTAATTTCTTTGCGGTTTTTCAATTATTCTTAAATTAATTTTTTTTATTGATTTTTAAATTAATCAAGTGTTGAATCAAAATATGTCAAGTAGAATTTTTTAATGTATTAATTAATTTTTGGAGGTAGTTATACATCTATTTTTGTGAATATTTATATTCTAAGATTTTATTTTTGTGAATAATAATTTTAAAATGATTATTTAACGAAAGGAAAAATTTAATTTACTTGTATTTTTGGGGTTTGTAATAATTACAAATCTGATGTTTAGCAGATTCAATATGGCGGACGACTTTTTAAAATTCTAATGCAATTCGTTTGTAACTTATCTTATTACCGAGAGTTTTTTGGGTCGTTCATTACGAATCTGATGCTGGTTTTTGAAAATTTATAAATTTGAACATTTGTTTATACATTTTTTAAACAATAGAAAATTGTAGATACTTTCTGGTCAATAAATTGTTGACGCCCTCTCTTCGCTGAAGAAAATAACGTATCAAATTTAGATAAAAAATATTAATTTTGTTTATAGATATTGATCTTTTCGTAGGTTAAAGTATTAATTTTAATAAACCTGCTATTACTAGTAAAAACATTCAAATTTCTTTTTACTATTTTAAAAAACCAAGTTTTTGTATAATTGCTATTTTTTAATTGTGATTAGTAAATCACTAAATTATTATTATTATTATTTATACATACATTTCAGTACATATGATTTATTGTTATTAATATTAACAAATATTGTAAACAAAACACTTGATGGACTGATAGTAAAAATGGTTTATAATTTAACAACGGGAGCAAAAGTGGCATAAGTGACTTGGGAGCAAAAACGGGTTAAAATGATTGATGAATTTATCGATAAGTTTATTATGCTAATGATTACAAAATATTAATTTAAATAAAATAAGTCTTTTTTTACTTTTGCAAATACTTTTTAAGCACTAATATAATTAATTTATCAAGAAATTCATCAATCATTTTAACCCCTTTTTGCTCCCATTGTTGTTATAAACCATTTTCACTATCAGTCCCTCACTTAAATGAATCAAACCCTAGACCTCGAAGATGCAAGTTGAATACACGTACCGCGCACGCAAGCTTAGGAGTGATTCCACTTACAGTCCATTTGAATTTCGAGACTGTATTATCCAATATTTGTAATAATTGAAATTGTGTTGTACATTTGTAATTATTTGAAGCTATACACTATGAATAATACTAATAATAATAATACTAATACCAATAATAATACAAATAATAACATAAATAATAATGAATTCAAAAAAGTTTAAAAAAATTTTTTTTTAAATTTTAATAATTTTATTTTTTTAAGTTGTATTATTTTTACCATAAAAATAAAATAGAATTTTAAAAAATATTTAACAAATAAATTACATATATAGTTGATGTATTATCTCGTGCAGAAAAGAAATGTGGCCAACCTGATCAGGGCTATATCGGATCATCCCTAATGGGGCCTTGACGTGGCCCTGATTGTGGATTTTTTAAATATTTATTTCTGAAAATATAAAATTATTATGCATTTTGATAACGTAAAAATGTTTGTTTTTAAATAATATTTTATATAATCCAAAATTAATATCGATTTTAATATAAAAAATGTTTGTTTTTTAATATAGGGGAGAATGGGATAGCCACAAACACATAAACTTTTTGATGAATAATTTGTGTTCATATTTTTGGAACATTAATTAATTTTTGTTATATCAAACAGAAAGATTCTTTCAATATTTTTTAAATTTTATTTCAGTAAATGTTTTATAATATTTACCTTAAAACTGTGAGTCGTTTGACAAATATAATTATGATTTTTGCATTCAGCGCATAAACTTTTAAAAGCACACATATTTTCAAAAAAATTATAGGTGTCAAAATTATAAAATGTCAAAAGTTTAAAAACTTAAACATTCAAAATTAATCTTGTCTTACAATTTTCAAAATTTTTTAACGTAAATTTTTTTCTAAGCTTATTATTTTATAGTTTTAAACAACCTCTCGGATGGATTTGTAAAAATATACAACGAGTTTAAAGATAAAAACTCTAACCTCTTCAACAATTTAATTTTCAAATTTTTTACCATCCTATATGTTTTTGGCTTAAAAATAGTGCAAGAAAAAAATATAATCTTCTTTGATAATTAAAATTTAAAAGGGTCAAAGTTGGGGGCGGTGCCTTCCCTTAACCCTTGTGTCCATACCCAAGAAATTCTACGCTGTTTCGCACCCAGGGTACCTGGGTACCTACTAAAGCAAAAAATTTATAAAAAATAATCAGATTATTTTTTATGATGCCAGTTTCGAGGCCAGTTTTTAAAAATGCAAAATGGCGGATCCAATATGGCGGACGACACTTTTAAAAATTCATTAGATTCACTTGAAATTTGTTACTCGGGGTTTTTTGGGGTCGCTGATTACCCCCTGGTACCCGGGTATACCCGGGTATACCCAGGTATGAAAATAAGGGTTGAAAACATTGAATTAAACTGAAATAAAAAGATTAATAAACTTATTAATCAATGTAGGTAATTAATTATTAATCATTAATTTTATTCATTTCATTGAAAACATTTAATTTATTGTTGTGTCAAAATAACTTTCTCTTATCAGTTCATAACCTTAATTGGAAAATCCTCTCAAGTGAAGATTAGAATTTTTGTTATCATATACATATGAGGGAATATGTATAAAATTTAGAAGAATCCGTTAAAATCAAGATTACTGTTGTAGCTCTGACGATATATGTATATCTTCTATATTATTATTAATTTATTTTCCAGTCATAAGCAAGAACATTTATTTAAAAATTTATTTTACTTTTTTTTCATGAATAAGTATAGAACGGTTTGAATATGAATATATTACCTACAAATATAGAATTGATTTAATATTCACCTGATGATTCTAAATATAGAATGATGATTCTATTATATAGATTCGACCCAAATCTTTTTCTAATTGACCCTTTTATAAGTATTTATTTTGATACCTTATCTTCACATGACAACTTCATTCATAAAACATTTGTATAGAGTTATCACTATTTATTTTGTTAATAAAGTAATAGTAGAGAAACATATTTCTTTTAAATTTCTCATTCTAGTACACAATTTCATGTCTTAGAAACAAATTTTTATTTATTATGTTTATTTCGCGTGAAATAAATATTCAGTATTTAATTTGTATTCTCTCTTTTGCTAGTCGAAGTATTTTCTTTTCATTTTCATCCGCAATTTCGTGCCATTATCTATAATCAACTTAGCATTTTATCAAATTTCTGTATCTTTCCTTGACCGATTAACTTATACTTTCTTTGCATGTAGTATTGATTTAATATTATTCCGGTGCATATAAATAATAATATTAACTCCAGTGTTCTTTACAATGAATATACTTTTCAAAATAAAGTCACAATATTTTACAGTGTATATAGAAATTCACAAATTAGAGAACTTTCAAACAGTTTTAATAAATTTGTGTTTTAACAAATCATGTTTATTTTTTTAATAACTTTGACAAGTAAAGTATATATATAATTTGAAAAAAGCACAAGATTGTTGGGTAAAGTTTGAAAGTTAAATGACTGTAAAGGTTTGTTTTTGTATTGTTTTTGATTTTCATTTAGACATTCATATAAATTACTTGGTTTCTTGCCAAGATTTTGATTGAATGCTTTATGCATTCAAGTATATTGACCATGAAAACATTGAAAAATCCATAACTTTCCTATTGTTTAAAAAGTATCTAAATCTTTTATTTTCCATTTGTTTATTCATTAAAAATGTTTTATTGCTACTTTAAATTTCAAATGTTTTCTGATAATTAAGCAGAT